AAATTCCCAATTAAATGAACGATTACAATAATTCATTAATTTTGAAAGTGAGGCAAGTCCATTTAGTTATAATGAAACTCTTACTTTTTTTAGTCAGCACTGTAAACACTATTGGATTATAAACTTACATTATCTGGTACCACAAAATATTAAAAATATATCTATTAATACTTACCAATATTTTTAAATTTATTGAAATGCAAACCTTTAAATATCTCGCAATAACAAAAATTGGACTTGCCCCATTTTCAAAATAAACGGCTCATATATAGATTATGAAATATAGTATGTAAACAATTAAAATATTATATCAGGAAGATAAAAAATAAACCTTGCTTCATCATTTCAAAAATATTATTATTAAGTCCTCAACAATTCAGCAAGAACTAACTCAGTAATACCAACCTGACATTTATACAACTAATTATATTCCCACTGCGCACTTTTACCCCATTCTCCTTTTATTAAACTCTTTCCGCCCTGTAAGCACTGAGGGCCTCTTTTTAGCAATCTTATTATGGGTTCGGCCAGGCTCACAATGGTACGGCCGGGTGGTAAAGGACGGGGCCCGACATATCCTGACGGACCACCCGCGAAAAATTTCTGGGGATTTTTCGACCCGTCCGGATTCGATCTCGGGTCCCCAGAGCGGTAGGCTACCACCTTGACTGTTCGGCCATCTGGCCTAAAGTGTTTCCATGCCGGAAATCGAACCGGGCCTTCTGGGTGAAAGCCAGATATCCTAACCACTAGACATATGGGATAGCCCCACTATCCTTTATCATCATTAACAGCTCCTTTTTTATTTTAATTTGTTTTATCCCATGGGCTATAACAATGCCATTTCCATTTTCGGCAGATTCGCGATGTGGTTAAATTACTAAATTACTAATTAATAAAATTGAACCTGAGTGTTCCGGAGGTGGAGGCTGATGCCTTTATCCTTTGATCCTTTACCCTGGCCATGTTTATTAACTAATAATATCTAATTATTATGAAGATAAGTGTTGTGCAGTTTCACGTATAATTTAGACTGAATACGTATATTTTTCAGGTATATATATACAGACCAGTTTGAAGCAAAATTGCCAGAAGATATTATTTCTACATTTTATGCTGCTCACAAATATCACATTCCTTCTTTAATGAATTTGTGTAGAACTCAAATTGTACCAAAGCTTACAGGAAATAATGTTAGCAAAATTTTTCAAGTGGCTCGGTTACTCGAAGATGAGATTTTAATTACTAAGTGTGAAAACATAATTCCTCAAAATTCGAAAACTGTTTTGGAATCCGAATCATTCGCTAACCTTTCGGGTGATGTCGTAGAATATTTAATTCGGCAGAAGAAGTTAAATACTGCAAGTGAATCAGATATATTTAGAGCAGTATTGGTATGGGCCAAGCGTAGAATAGAAGGAAACAAGAAATATATCGAGGAAAAATCCGAAACAAATGAAAAGGAAAAAGATATAAGCGAGAATATCAAAGAAAAAAATATGCGTAAGGAAATCAGATCTGTAATGAATTTCCTTCTTCCTTACATCAATTTTCTCTCAATGAATTTGGAAGAATTTATTAAATTACCCGATTTGACAGTAGTATTTTCGAAAAAAGAAATAGTACAAATGGCATTAAATATTGCTAAAATTAGAAATGTTCCACTACCTGATTGGTTTGGAACAGGACCTCCCTCTCAGAAGTGAAGTCTGAGTCAAATGGCTGCTAAATTCCTTCGAAAGGATGGTAAAATTATTTTTTTTTTAACGGAGCATGTTAAAACAATTATAATTATTATTACTGTGGTTTTTAATTAATAATAATTATAACTACAAGAAAATGAATACGTTCTGGGTTATGTTGATTCTGATAAATTATCTGACTGATAACAGTGTCTATGATTTCAATAGGCAGAGTCTACCGTATTTGTTGAGTCTCCAAAACAATTATCAATACATTTTAATTTCAATTTCAGTTTTAATTTTGTTTGTCTTAAATTTTTAAAATATATTTAAATGTTTGATTTATATCAGAATAAAATACGTACGTGAAATAAATTTTACTGAAATCGATTATAATGCTTCTAGCTTTGTTAATATGGAATATATTTCGTTTCATGCACAATTTGTCTACTCTATATACAGTAAAAATTAGGTTTAACATTTTTCAAGGAATTAATAATACAGTAATAATAAAATATGTTAAATCGCGGAATACGTAAAATCGAAACATCATCTTAACAAACTTAAAAAGCATATAGAATACAAAGACACGTGTATTAAATTATCCGATATTCAGAATGGATAAAGTGAAAACAGGTAGACTATATTTAGGCTTACCAGACGTCCCGCTTTGACCGAGACTGTCCCGAATTGATAATGTGGTCCCTGTGTCCCGGCCAATTTGTCATTTTGTCCCGTTTATTTGGTAAAATTTTAAAAGTGCCGAATATACAAGAAATAAAAATAGTGCAGCCTCTAGTAAAATGGCGACTTGGCTATTAAAATATCCCCTCGGTTATACACACTGTTGCCAATCTAAATATTTTGTATCTCAATTTAAGTACTTTTAATGTTGTCTAGATCTTTTCCCCAAAATCTATAGCATGTGGCCTAATGAATTTGCATGTTTTATTTTTTAATCCAGATATTTTTTCACAGAATTTATAATAGCACGTAGCCTATGAGATCCAGATGTTTTTATTTCTTTTTTTTATTTATTTCGTTTCAATTAGAGTTGGCTATACTGAAACTTACACTGGCATGTCATTGTTCCGCATGTCCTATCTTAGTCGCGTTCGAATTGCTAGTCGGCATTTGCGATTATTTTCTACTGTGCACTAAATTAATTTAATCTCCAAAATGCCAAAAAGAAACCGCGTGTCTACCGATGAATTAAAAAAGAATTATCCGTTTTTGAAAAAAGTTTGCGATCGTATTGGCAAAGTGAAATGTAAACTGTACTTTTCAGAATTTTCAGTAACTCGTGGTGGGCGTTCGGACGTTAAAATCACTTGAAATGTGCGAAACATAAGGCAAGCCTTAAAGCAGCGGAAGGAACTTCCTCAAATATATTGTCATATTTTGAAGGTAACGATTTAAATCGCATTAAATTTCGATGTCATTAAAAATAACATAAAATTTTAAAATAAATATTAATAACTTCTTAATAATAACGTAAATCCAAGTTATTAAAAATTGTTTTTAACTCCTTGTTTTTTGTTAACAACTTCTTTATTTAGTCTTTCCAATCGTAGGAACTTATCCTAGTAGTTAATTATTTTGTTATTTTCTGATGTGAGTATTTTCTCATAATTGTCCAGGTTTGAGGGGGGGAAATATTATATATTATGGTAAGCCTAGGTATATTATCACTATAAACGATTCTATGAAAGTCTTTATTTCATACAATATAATGTACAACGATTGCCACTTGAAGACGTGTTATAATAATAAGATTAATTTTTATTGTCAAGATAAGTAAATAATATTCTCTACCTATTAAATCTAATCATTGAGCTGCAATTTGAAAAAAAATTGTAGACCTAAAATTCCCACTGTCATCCGTCTGTTTGTCTGTCTTTCCTTAATCTCGAGAAGGGTTAGATGGATGAAAATTGAGACCTGATATGGAAACCTTATGTTCAGGAGGCCCCGATTAATTATATACGAACTTCTGGTTTTTACCTCAAGTCACGTTATTTCAATTCAAAAATTTTCCCTAATGGAGTTACATACGTAACCGGCACGACTCAATTGCTAACAGGAAAAGTATGATGTACAGGGGAATAACACTACTACACTTCAAGCAGGCAAGTGCTGTGCTACTTGTCGCAGTAATGCGTAATACGGCATGCATTTCTCTCTATATCATTGTCGCAGTAATTCAGTGAATATAATAGATATTTTTTAAAATTATATCATTTTTGTAAGAATTATATTTAGTTAATTATTTTGTTAAATTTTTTCCAATAGCTGGCGGTAGATGTAACGCCAGCAATCAAACGTAGACAGAATTTAATCGATATATAAAAATCTAATCGATAATTTGAGGTGGGATGTACATGATCTAAGTTAGAAGAATTTGAATGTAGCTGCCGAGTTTCGTACCAATTGGTCGAACGGCCTAGTAGTGTATAGCGAACACTTAAACATTCTCCTTTACAAGTATAGATAAAAATTTTAGTGTTATATTAATAATTGGGCTGCAATTTGAAAAAAAATTGTAGACATATAAATGCCCACTGTCGTCCATCCGTCAGTCTGTCTTCCTTTCCTTAATGTCGAGAACGGAATTAGACACCAGATATAGAAACCTTGGAGGAGGAGGAGGAACTGCTTGACTATACATTAACTTCCACGAAAAGTCGCGTTATTTCAATTCAAAACTTTTCCCCTGAAAGCAGTTAATAGATGATCTATCGTTAAAGGAAAAGTATAATGTACTGTACAGGGGCAAGATGCTACTAATTTGAAATGGAGATCATATATTTTAAATGAAATAAATTTAAAATATGATTAAAAATTGCAGCCCGGCATTGTGAAGATCTTACAATAAATAATCACTCGTAATGGATTTAAATTTTATTGAAACAGAAAAATTCTATAATTTTGTATCTTTGTGTCGCTGAAATGATTGTTTTAAATTTTGGTAGATAAATTTCATGAATTATGAATCATTCATGAAATGTATCTACTAAAATGGTTAATTCAACAAAATGATAAATCAGTTTGTTAAATTAACTATTTGCTTGTCACATTCAAGACAGAAGATCGCTCTTCCGTCTGCAATAAATCCTTTTTCGACAAGCGATCGTTCACACACGGCACATAAGAAGCAATTACAGTGCCAATTCCGATCTCCAAAGGATAAAAAACGTGTTTCACCAATGCCTGTAACAAAATGAATTTTGCTGAATATGATTTCATTACAAATGTTTCATATACATACAAAAAATAAATAAAAATTTACCAGTAATTGGTCTGTTGCAGGTGTTGCATCTTTTTGCAAACAACTCTCCGAAGCATTGGGCGCAATAGGGTTTCTCGTCTCTGAATGTGAACCGCTGTCCCGCCAAAACCCTCTGACAGCTAGTGCAAGAAAAACACTCTCTATGCCAATGCTTGTTGCGGTGAGTCACACCATGAGTAGCAATTACTTGACAGCATTTGATGCAATGTACGGAAAACTTTTTTTCGTAACAACTTGGGCAATATATGTTGTTATCTTTTTGAATAAAGCTCTTGTTACCTATGAAATTAGCACAAACAACACAAAGGAAACAATTTTCGTGCCATTGTTTATCTTCATACTCCATCTTTCTTGTACCTAAAATAAAAGTTACATTTTGAAATCGACAATTAACACAATGAAAGTATTTTTTGATTAAGAAAATGGTGAAGTTTTTCCGTACCAGCTTTAAGTACTTCACCGCAACATTCGCACTTGGTGGCAAAATCCGACTCGTAACAGATCGCACAATAAACTTGATCTGCTTTCGAACCGAAAACTTTATTTATCAAAGAAGTATGGCAATTATTGCATGAAAAGCATGATTCATGCCAATGTTTGTCTTTGTAGGAGAGATGCTGAGGAAAATTTATGAAATTAATGAAAATAAATTTAAGAAATTTGTGAAATTATAAATATATTTAGAAATAAAAATAAATATTACTTCTGAATCTACTCCTATTGATTTTCCACATTCATTACAAATATCGGAATACAATTTTTCATAACAATGAACGCAAAATGGTTGATCATCTCTTATAAGATATCGCTGGCCTGTAAGAGATTCATTGCACTTCCAACAACAGAAATGAATTGTGTGCCAATCTTTTGACATTGCTCTGATATACTTCCCGTCAAAAATAAGCTAAAAAAGTCAAAATAAGTTATTTTTTATCCATTATAGACTTAAAATAATCTAAAATTGTTACCTCGTCACAGGCCGCGCATCGAGGTTTTATTTCTTCTGCGTAATGACGTTCGCAGTAAATTTTTCCGTCTACAGTACAAGAAACTAAATCCACTAATAATTCTTTGCATACTGAGCACACGAAGCAGCCCGGGTGAAACGGATTGTTTTCTCCTAATCTTGAATTTATTACTGCTAAATCTCCGAGTATCATGATTCCTTCACAACCGTAGCAGTACTGTAATTAAAATTTTATCTAAGAAATTTTACCAAAGAAAAAGCTACTTTGTTTCATTTTTACCGAGGTATGCTCCAAACCACCTGTGATGTAAGCAATATCCATTGCTGTTTTATTGCGTTCACAAAGAAAGTCATCGTAATGCTTCCGATATTCTTTCTCTAAAAATTTACAGGAATTTGCAGAGAAATCTTGTTTAGGAAGCTGTATTATAATCTGTTGTTCGCGATATTTTTCACCGCATGTTCCAATTCGAGGTACCTTTTCCCAAGGGATTTGAGTAAAGTACAATTGGATCTGAAAATACTAGATTGAATCAGAAGGTAAAGCCTTTAATACAGTATCTGAAAATTAAGCCTATGTAAGACAATTGCCTACTTTATCTGCCGATAAGTCAGATGGCACCCAGGAATAGCATTCTTCCGAAGCAGTTTGTTTCAACATTCTATTTTGTTCATGTTGGTCTTTCATCTCGATCTATAAATTAAGAGTGATTCAGAAAATTTATTTTAATGAGTTTTTTTTATTAAGAATTGAAATATGTCAAAAACTCCACGTGGCGAGGCAACTCTTGTATTAATTAAATTAAAATGAAATTTTTAATGATTTGGATCTGCCACCGATCTACATTCCTTTTGGTTCTTCTTCGGGAGTTAGCTAAAATTTAAAATACTTGAATAATTATATTTATTGCATTAACACGTTCAAGATGATTGTATTGCTGGTGGTACGAGAAACCATATTTGCTAACTTAAACGTTTTTAAGAAAACGTTTTGAAGCTGAAAAAATCAATTTTAATTTTTTCTTCTCAGTGGGAAGGGCTTAAGTCCCTAATACTACGTTCGCACACAATCCACGACTCACTTCGATCTCCAGATTTACCTACAATCTGGATTGTGACTGTCGCCAGTCGAACGTCGTGCTGTTCGCACAAGCAGTCCGCATGAGAAGAATACGGCTATTACAGACGATGATAAAACTGACATAACTACGCGGTTAGTCAAGAACACCAACAAACAAAATGAAGTTTTGGTTAGAAAAAAATACAGTACTTTTTCTTGCCATACATCTAATAATAGACAGATGTCATCGTCTCTTCAGATATTTTTTTTATTTCTCTGTTAGTAACCCGACACTTGTTCCGCAGCCATCTTGTATTTTCTCGCTCGCGTGGAATTGTGGGATCTCTGTTATGGCTGGATCTAATTTCAAGAACTTTCTTGAGTCGATCGCGATTGAACCTCGTTTCAGTCGAGATTGAAACGGTTGAGAGAGGTCTTACCACGGCATAGTCGCCGACCTTAGTCACAATCTAGATCGAAATGCTCGGTGCGATCGGGGTATAACGTCCTCCGTAGATCCGCGCTTTCGGCTTTGAATTAGCTTTTATTCCTGAAACCGTAAAACTTCAACAAAATTGGACTATGTGGTCGGAATGATAATACAGTAGAGCGTCAGTTATCCGAAAGTCAATCATCCGAAACGTCAATTATCCGAAAGAATTCCAGTCGGCAAATTTTAATTTTCGCAAGTGCTGTGGCGCTGCAATTTTTGGCTATGTCTTGGGCTACTCAAATATTTTACGTTTTTGATACTAAATTAACTTCTGAAGTATAATTTTTTATTGCTTTTATATTTTTCAATATATTTATTTTTTTTGTACAAAATAAAAAAATAATTTTTAACGATACAATAGTCTTCGTTAAGCTTAACATCGACGAAAATTCAACGCGAAGCGACACGCAACGGAGAAAAATGTAAGATGGGATAAATTAATATATTTTTTCGCACATAATCGGTTATCCGAAACATCGATCTTCCGAATAACCCCAGTCCCCAATTGATTCGGATAATCGACGCTCTACTGTATATGTAAGCGAGATTTCAATTCTCATCTATGTTAGATCAACCATTATAGATTATAATCGTATCCTGACAAATGAATTTTTCGTTGAATTACCCGTAGAAACAATTGAAATGTTTTGTTTCCAGTGTATCTGGTTCGGACTAACAACTTGACATATTTCAACATGAAGGAGTATCCATAAATTATGTAACGCTATTTTTATACTTTTCAATTACCATCCCACCCCCGTAACGGTCCATAATGTCGTACGTACCCACCCGCAAAATTATGTATTATCGATCAATTCTCTTAATTGTACTAGGGTAATCCTACATAGTACGTGAATATTAAACATCAGTCGTACATGTATAACATAAACAAAGCAGTAACGTAAACGCTATACAACATTCCAGGAACAAAAACAAACCATTCCGTAATAATCCAAGGTTGATAAGAGCATCTATGTGTGGTATTACCGGTATTCCACTATTGTCTTTTTTACAAATACCTGGAACTTCCATACCAGTTGTATCTAAAATACATGTTCCTAATGAGAACATGTATTCATTAATCCATTCATAATCTTTTATATTTTTTTCCGAAAATACTGATAGCTTAATTCTTATATATTTAACAAACAACACCAGTCGACTTAAAGACCTTAGAATTACGTAATGTTTTTGTAAAAAACTCCAACCCTTTACGACTCATCCTAGCGATTACTTTTATAACTATCCATTCACCTCTCCATATCCGAGTTACGTAATGTATGGACAGTCCCGATCTTCTTTTCATTTGTAGGACATAAAAGTGCGATCATTTTGAAATATATAATCTAAAATGCTTTTCTTGCGACAAACGTTTTGAATATTTATAAATATTTAGAATTAAAGTACTAAATACTGTAAGCCTATTTGATCACAACTTCCAATAAAAACCTCAAAGCAGCGTTTAGAAGTCCTAATTCATTACTGTATATATTAATTCAAGCAATGCATTTTATAAAATCCATAGCTTGAATTATTTATTTATTCTGCATTATTATCCAGAAATGTATTTTATAAAATAAGAATCCAAATAAAATAATTTCAATAAACTTAAATTGCATGTTTTATAAATAAAGTATTTTTAAGTAATAATTTCAACCGTTAGATTAATAAAATAGATTGATAAACTGATAAGTCTTAAAACTTTACTAGAGAAATTATATTTTTAAAAATAAATAGCAACTTGCCGAAAGTGTGTTGTCTTTTCTCTCCATTATCTTTTCTTTAAAATTTAGATTAAGATATTGATGCTATTCGAGTTTTCTTCGTATTCTCTGCAACTATTATTAATGCCCTTTGTTGTTTCACCAAAGTTATTGTTTGTTTTATGTATTGTTTTATTATTGCCGATATCAAGATCAGTAATAAATAAGATTCTTATTAATTGCAAAAAAAGATATTAAAGATAAAAATATAATTAAGCTAACAATATCAGCCAGAACCCGTTAAGTATTCGGTTTGGTCAGAAGATGACTTGCCAATTACATTCTATAGAATATTGAATGGTATTCATACTGAATAAATCTCTAAACATTTTCATAAATGCCATTCATCTCTTGTTTCTTAATATAACGTTCGAACTCATCAATACATTTTAGATAAGTGAACTAATGTAGGCTAACTGCTTAAAAAACCAGCGATACCCCCAAAATTATACTCGTAAACCTTACAGGTACAGAAACTGCCGTCAAGCAAATTATTATCGTTTTACCTTAGATGTACACGAAACACGTCACAGTACAATTAAGTGAAGCGTGCAATGCGTGTTGTAAATTCCAAAAAACACGTCAAAAAAGAAAATCAACACGTCAAAGGTAGTAGGAAAAACACTAAATTATGTAAATACTCACTACCAAACTAAATTCATTCAATTTCTACACTCTCAGACATTCATACATTAGTTTATGCTGGAGCAGTCGCAGTAGTAACACACCATGGACTAAAAATACAATCGCAGACAAACACACACAAAACACAATTCACAATATCACAAGCCTGCATGGCAGAGAAGAGTTCAAAAGCTTCAAAAGTTATTTTCGCGGCTTTAATTCTACTTTGGGGACGAGTAGTTAATTTCATTTTACAAAGTAGTTTGTCTACAGTAATATTACGTTTAGATAAATCGTATTACTTTCACAATATAAAACTGTATACAACGAACAATATCCAAAATGTTACCCCGTGGCAGTCGTCCAGTACCGACCAAAAATAATTTTTAAGGAGAAGGTCTCAGTTTTCTTTCTTCCCAATTTAGAGAAAAAAGGCAGAAAATGAAAAAAAGAAGAAAGTAAAATGGACAGCAGCTAGTATGAAAAAAGGCAATAGATGAAATTCTTGCAAACAATACGACTCGACGACAGACAGCTTCTACATTTTCAATTCCAAAAACATTAGTACAGTAAATCAAATGAGAGATATCCAAGTTAACGAAAATATGAGTATGGTTCTTCAAATAAGTAGTGTGAGAACCGAGAGGGTTAGTTGTCCCCACTTACCGGCGGCTCTATCAGAGGATGGCTTTATAGGAGGGCAAAATGAAATGAGTGGGAGGTTAATGGGTAAGTTGATAGGTTCCCAAATAAATACACAGATTGAACAAGAACAACACATTTAATAAACAACTAAAAAATTGTACATATCAAAGGCGAAAGTGAAGAGCTACAAAAATTCTATTCTACGTCGCGATAATAATTCGTCTTTCATATGGAACATCTAATCTCTATTCTCTAAGTTAAAATAAGAGACGAGAGAGAGACTTCCCAGAGAGAGATTTCGCAGAGAGAGAGTATACAAATAGATATCCAAAAAAATATCTCTAAGTTCCCGATCCGTAATATGGGTCGTTGGTAAAAACGTTCCTGGATCGTCACGGCAGTTATGGCGAGGTAGCGACGGATGGGTTGGCGGGATGGGTCAGTCAGTAGATGTGGCAGTCGATGTCCGCCCTGGAAATGTCTGCCTTGTGGACTGCGTCCAAGCCCTCTTTATACTACTTTTGAGGGGATGAGAACTATGACATCATTAATGATTTATGCGCACACCTGTTCGTGTGTTGATGTCTGAATCTAGCTAGTACGGACCATTGGCACAGAGAAGTTTGTTTAATTTATTGATATCAGTGTCTAGAAGATATGATTTTATCATATAAATTTCTATAGGTTTGACGGTTCTCATCCATAAATTAACATTTATCTGACAATAATTTCTGTAAACTGATAAACACTCTAGATATTGTTTATATTAAACGTCGCGTTTGACTACGAACGAGGCGATTCATTGCCGTAAGCACGTGTCACGTGCAACCAAAGAGGTGATAAAAAAAACATCTCTTATTCCCATCTTGTTGATATTAACGTCTATAGAATTACCTTTAAACAAATGGAGGAGATTTCTTTTATTGATATACTAACGATTTTTTTTCGAGGAGATCGTCTCCCTCGAAAAGAAATCCCCCTTTCTAATAAACCTTTCTAATAATATTAGGTGAAAAGGAGGTTTATTAGAAAGGTGATACTGTTCTAAAACAAAAGGGTTTTGGACCGTCACAGTAGTCAATGAATTTTCGATGAAGAAATGGAAAACAACTAGTTTTTTATATGCGAGATCAGGATTAAAAATTTAATTGAAGAAGACTGAGTACAGTGTATTTCATATGAGGGTTAGGCATATATCAAATGTGCCGATCAAGAAAATATTTTGCATTTTATTTGTGACAATTGTAAGCAGTGAAATTTAGTGTAAACTTTCGAAGATATTCTCCTATGTTTTTCCGAATAAATGTTATTATTATTAATTATAGTATTGATACAATAGTACACTATTCTACTTTTGTCAAAGAATTTTGTACTATTATTTGCTTGAAAAAAAATCGCTGTAACAAATTTATACAGTAGAACCTCGAAAACTCGGCCTAATGTGGACCGAAGGGTGGCCGAGTTTGTGAAAATTCCGGGTTATCGGGAATGGGGTTAAAAAAATGAGTACGAGTGTTTCCTCAGAAAATACTGTACTGTACTTGTATGTATTGTTTACTTGAGAATACAACAGAGAATAAACTGCCCAAATACCTTTAAACAAAGGAAAAGTACGTCCTTTATGAAGGCATGGAGCCTTTACTACATGAAAATGAAAATTAATGAATACACTGTGTACAGTAATTTACCTGATAAGACAGACCTCAGAAAAATACTTTATGAGAGCTTTTATACTTTTATAAAGCTGTCTACAATGAAAATTAATTAACTAAGGATTTTTTGCCCTGCCAGGGTGTGGCCGAGTTATCTGGAGTGCTGAGTTATCGAGAGCCGAGTTTTCGAGGTTCTACTGTATTATCATTAGACTGAAATTTGAAAAAAGTATAGACCTATAAATTTCCAGTGTCTATCTGTCTTTTCTTTCTTAACTTTCAGCTTTCATCTATCTAACTTCGTTCTCGAGACAGTTAGATAGACTAAAAGCCGAGACCAGATATGGAAAGATTAGGTACAGGAAGCCCCAATTAACTATATACGAACTTTTGGTTTGCACCGCAAGTCACGGTTTTTCAATTCAAAATTTTCTTCTGAAAGGAGTTAGATGACGGCACAACTTTATTGCTAACAGGAAAAGTATGATGTACAGGAGCAAAATACTTAATTTGAGATGGAGAACATTAAATAAATAATATGTAATTAATAATAACAGCCCGACATTGTGACGATGTCATAATAAATAATTGCTCGTTAAGATCTTAATACGGTTAGAACGGTAACTGGTCGGTACTTTTTTTTTACTCTTTCCGCCCTGTGGGCACTAAGAGGGCCTCTTAGTGCCCACAGGTAAGCCTCTTAGTGCACACATAAGCAGGCCCATTATGGGTTCGGCCAGGCCCAAAATGGGGCAACCGGAGGAAAATTCAGAATATTTGTACATATTAAATACTTTATTTATTTATTTTTACAAGTAACAAATATACGTGAAAACACTGACAACACTTAAATAAAATTAAAAATACATTAGAGGAGAGTCGTGTACCGACCACCTTAATATTTTTGGCTGTAATTAATATGTCTCGGGAAAAACTGATTTTACCACAGTAATATAATACAATAGCCCTCGTTATATGGCGGTTGTCGGGAGACAAAGAAAAAGCGCAATATAACCGAGTACTAAAAGTTCTGGGCTTATACTAAACAGTATAAGCCCAGAACTTTTAGTACTCGGTTATATTGCGCTTTAAAAAAATGAAATCTCTATCCTCTATTCTTTTATCAGCAAATGTTTCTGATATAAAATAAGCTTAAAAATACAGTCGACCCCCCTATAATTACGGTCCCTATAGTTACGATTCCTATAAAACTACGAAAAAATTGCTACCGGTATCCGTAAAAAATAGTAAAAGTTCCCTATAAACACCTCAAACGTCATCGGGAAGCCGAACTACTTTCCCGCCGTCCGTAGCGCCACGCTACGGAGAGATTTCTATCGTCTGGACAGTATTATATAAATTATATATAAATTAGGTACTGTACATATAATTATATATTAATTATATATAAATTAGGTACTGTATATATAATTATATATTAACTTATTGTAACTTTGTTATAATTAAATATATAATTTCCGCCGTCTAGCGTGGCGCCACGCTACGGAGATTTTTACGCTAACTATCGTCTGTCAGTATGTAAATTAGGTACCGTAAGTCTAATACAGTACTGTAATTTTATACATTTCTTGT